CCCATGTCCTTGTTATCCCACTTATGTTCAGCCCATTTTTTATAGCTTCCATTGAGATGTGCCCTCAAAATCTCAGGTGGTTATAGGTGGGAATTTTCAGAGGTGGCTTGATCTATAGTGTGTGATTCTGGGATTAGGCATGTGATGCTAGGATTAACCATGTGAGATTACTAAATTAGTTCACTGATTGGTTTAGCATAGTTTTGGTATGGATAATGGAAAGACCCACTCTGGATATGGGTAGCATCACCCAAAATATGAGTAGTCTGGAAGGGATAAGAGAGAGGAAGACTGTCACTTTCCTGCTTTGCTGCTTTCTGCCCACCCTGCCACACCATGAACTGTTTCTCCTCTGTGATGCTACTCTGCCATGCCACTCTTCCTTTGGAGCCAGCCAAGTACAGACTGAAACCTTTCCAAACTGTGAGGTAAATAACTTTTTCTCCTTTAATTTGTAAGTGTCAGGTATTTTGTGCCAGAAGCAAGAAAACTAACTAAAGCAGATTTTGGTACTAGAAGTGGGGCTGTTGCTTTGTGTGGTGGATTGACAACTAGTGGTCAACCTGTAACACCCAGCTGAACTGAATCAGTGTGGTGCTAGATATGGAAGGACCACCCGAGGATTGTTGCCAACAAAGTATAAAGAACTGCGGCTGTTGATTCTCCTGGAGGAGTTTGTCATGCTGACTTTCCTGATATGAACTCAGCTGTTGTCATTGTTGAAGGAGCTTGGGACCTTGCTGTCTCTGAGAATGTCTATGATTCACTTTGGGATAGCTCTGGTCCCTACTTTGAGCATCACTTCCTGGCTCTGGAGGGGAAGACGGTACACTGTTCAGTCTCCTGGAAAAGCCTATCTTGCTGGATTTCCTGATATGAACTTGGCTGTTCCCATGGTCAGAGGAGCTTGGGACCTCACTGTTGCTAAGGATGGCAGTAGTACTTTTCAGTAAAGCTCTGGTTCTTACTTTGAGCACTGCTTCCTGGTGCCAATCCCTTAGCCTGCTGGCACAGATCCTTCATGCTGCTTGTACTTTCTATCTTCCACCAATGGCCTTGGGACCTTCTTAGTACAGATCCTTGAAACAGGTTTGCATGAGACATTGTCATGGACTATTGGCCTCTAGTTGGACTTGTGGAGGGCACTGTTATGGGCTCTAGGTCTTCAGCTGGATTCATGCACATTGTTATGGGATCCCGGTCTTCAGCTTGATTCTTCGGGTCCTTAGAATATGGACAGATTTCCTGCACTCTTTTGAACTTGACTCTTTGGGTGACTATTATAAAATAATCCTATAAATTATGTGTCCTGTATTAAATTGTTTCCCTTGCAAACCCTGACTACAACACTATGACACTACCTAGTCATGTGGTTAAGCCCTCAATATTAGCCATGGCACTGCCTCAGCATTAGACTTCCCTGAAATTTCTTAATTTAAAACTGGCGTGTGGAGAAAGTTTGGGAAGATTTGAAGCAGCACCCCTAGAATGCTATAAACTGAACTTGATGGGAGACTCTGGTTAGAGCTCAGAAGATCAGAATGCTGATAGAAATGCTACCAGTAAAGGCCAGGCTCAGGAAGTTTTAGTTAAGAACTAGGATTTTATTGGCTGTTGGACTCCAGAACACATGTGTTATGCTTTGGCAGAAAATTTGCTCTTCTCCAGCAAACTCACCTGAGACTGAGATGAAGGCTGGTAGACTAATTAATCTGGGGGAAGAAATTTCAGGGAAGTCTAATGCTGAGGCAGTGCCATGGCTAATATTGAGGGGTTTTAGCCAGATCTATGTTGACAATCAAGAGGAAAGGCCCTGTAGAATTTTAAAAGTTGAGTTTAGCCAGAAGAAAATCTCCAGTAAATTTGAGACCTGTAGAGATGGAAGAGAAAAGAAACTGTTTACTGAAAAGGCTAACAACAACAACAAAAGCCCAGTATTTCAGAAGAGGACAACAGAAAAGATGGCATGGAGGTACCACAGGAACCAGCAGGACTCCATTCTTTACAGCCTAAAAATTGCAAAGATTAAGGACTTTGCTTTGAGACAAAAGCCCAGAGCACTATGCTCCAGAATGACAGTGGCCTAGGGAAGTTGTTCTTCAGGACTCTTTCATCAGTACCTGAACTCTACAGTCAAGAGAGAAGGAATCCTGGGTAGTACCCCAGCTGGTGGCAGAACTTGGCATCATTCACACGGTGCTGGTTCTATGTGCACGCATAATGCAAGAGTTCTGGGGACAAGAAGTCTTCTACCCAGATTTCAGAAGGCCTTAGGAGGCCAGGTAGTGTGTCCCTTAAAGAGCAGTGTGTGGAGATGAGTGTGAAGCTGAAGGTGCAGTGGAGATCCCAAAAGGCTGGAGAAGCCAGGAACGTGAATCGTGTAAGCAAAGCTGCAGAGTGAGCAGATCTGACCCAAAAGAGAAGCCAGGGGAGATAAAACCATCCACAGTGCCATAGAGGTAGAGCCTTTTGGAGTTCAGATTACCCCAGACGCTGGATATGGAACTATGGGACTCGATGTTAGGCCTGTTGGATTTTGGACTTGCTTTGGTCCCATTCCTTTACATCCTCTTAATTTGAAGGAAAATGTTTATCTTGTGTCATTGTATAGTGGAAGTGTTTAATTTTCTTTTCATTTGTATAAGGGCTGGAAGCTAAGAGTTTGCCTTAAATCTCAGAGGAGACTTTGGACCTGGATTCTTCAACAGTGCTGAAACTGTTAGGTCTTTGGCAACTCTTAGAGACAGAGTTTTGCATAATGGTATGTGCATGAGTCTTTGGGAGGACAGGAATGTAATGTTATGGCTTGTATCTAAATGCCCCTCTAAAACCTCATGCACTCATTGAAGGGGAGTTTTGAAGGTGGCTGGATTACTGTGTAATATGGGGATTAAGGGTGTGATGCTGAGATTAAGGCCTAACCTATGTGTGGTTGGTACCACCCAAAAGCTGGTGGCCTGGAAAAGATAAAAGGAAGAGGCAGGCTTGCTGTCGGAGATTATGCTGCTTGTTCCTCACTGCTCTCTGCCCGCCACACCATGAAGTGTTTCTCTTCTTCTATGCTCCTCTGCCATCTCTCCCTGCCTTGGAGCCAGCTAACTATGGAATGAAACCTCTACAAACTGTGAGATAAATATACCTTTCCTCTTTTAACTTGTATCTGTGAATGTTGGGTATTTTGTGCCAGCAATGAGAAAAGTAACTAAGACACCATTCATGTGTCAGTGCTAAGGTTCCTGTAAGCCACCCAGAGTAAGAACCCTCTGACAAGTAGGGATCAAACATAAACCTGGGTAGCAAGAACTGTTCTTCAAAATTATCCCGTGACACTCTGAACTGGAGTGTCTGTCCCATGTCTCTGTTTCCAATGTAGCCTTTCCAGTTCTTCTGGAAGCAGAGCTGTACAGCCCTTGGAATCCAGATGCTCGTTTTGAATAGCAGGTTGGCTCTCTGGACCACTACATACCCACGGAGAAGCCCTGCTCTTTAGTGAACAGGGTGAAGAGTAGCAGCCTCGTGCTCTGGGGGTGCTGTAACTGTGCTTTTCAAAACAATAAGCTGCAACCTTAAATAGCAGCACTGTCATAATGCCTTGTAATCAGCAGAGACCTGCTATCAATATCTTTTGAAAAAACCCACAACATGGTTGTTACCTCACACAATAGTACTTTAAAAAGAGAGTTAATTACATATTTGTAATTACATTTTTTATTTTTAAAAGGACCAATTTCAAATGTGCTGATGTGTACTGTGGTAATAAGTGCTGGTCAATGGAATATCTATCAAATATATTTTTTAAAAATACCATTGATTGCCTTTCAAGGTGCATCTATCCATGAATGAGTCATACTTTTATTTGAAAGAGACTGATCATTTTGAGAACAATTCTTTGGATATTTTTCTATAATTACACGCTTTTAATTGCTGGAGAAGTTAAAATTGTCATATGTGCACATTTTAAAACTTGGAAATGTAAATTTCTAACCTTCAGAAAGATACTCCAAATAGGTGAGGACTGGTGAGCTTCTAAATGTTAGAATTTAAAGCACAAAATTTATAAATAGTATTGGTTTCCATAAACAACTTTTCAAGAGAATAAATAGATTTTACCTAGAGTTAAACAATTAGTATGTAAGTTGAAAATTAAATGTCAGGTTTAGTAGGGAAAACCAATGCTATTACTATTGCATTTTAATCAACTAATTTCTGGAGAAGCGTTTTTCCCAGGATAGTTATGAGTTCAAATTTAGAAATAATCCCAATTTAAAACAAGGTCTTTAAATAACTATTTTAAGACATTAAACTAAGACAACAAACACATTTAGTCATATTGCTCTCATTATACTTTAAAATAACTTGTGGTACAAACGTGTATTTCTAATATAAAAGTTTTCCTTTCGCATGCTTTTCTGCTTAGGTTTTTATGATGCTATGCTAATACTAATATTTAGCACGTTATCACACGGATGTCTGTCCAACACTGTTGGTGACTAATGGCCCGAACAGTTTGGGAATCCTCTAGCTTTAGCAACTTTAATTTCTGGATTTGCTTTAGTTAATTTTCAAGGTTAAACTTCAACTGCTCAGCAAACACAACTACTACACAAACCAACTCAGGAAAACAAGCCAGTCCCCCACTGGAGAAGCCTTCCACCACCTCCTCAGAGGACCAGGCGCTACTCCCACTCCAGGCCCAGCCTCCTGCCCCGGTCACCGCCTCCAGCCGGCACGGGGGTGGCCGGCGGCCGGGCGCTTCCCTGGGTGTCTCTGGGCTTCGGAGGGAGACTGCAGGCCCAGCGCGACCCGACGGCCGTGACGCATCCGCCGGAAGCCTTGCCCCAGATATAGGCTGACGGGAAGCATCCAGGAAGCAGCAGTAGGAGAGCCAAGTAGCAGAAGCAGAATCTCCAGGTACTGGCGGGGAGAAACCAGGTCTTTGATTCCGGGGCAGAGCTCAGCCTGAGCGTGGGAGGGAGGAAGGGAAGGGAGGGCGGCGCGAGGGAACCAGCGCGAAGGCTGCGGGTTGCCAGGCTCCTGGGGTCCGGACGGCGCCCTGAGCGCTGTCGCGGGAGGGAGCCGGAGCCGGAGCCGGAGCCGGAGCCGGAGCCAGAGCCAGAGCCAAAGCCAGAGCTCCGCGTTGGGACTGGGAGCTGGGCGGAGGGGCGCGAGCTGGGAGCGGGGACGGGAGCAGGAGCGAGGCACGGCCCGGCGCCCGCGTGCTCTCCACCCCGGGCAGACGCCGCTCCGGATTTGCCAGCAGAGGGGTGTGGCGGGGAAAGCGGGCCTTGGATTTGGTGCTCAGGGTGGATGGGCGGGAGCCGCGAGTGCCGAAGGAGACCTGCAGCTCCGCCTGCGTTTTCTGCAGAACCTTGGGTAAGCTTCTCGGAGGTGCCTGGTCAGCGCTACTGCCCGCACAAACTCCAGTCTCATCAGATTATAGGATGTGACTTCCCTTCCGCCCTCCTTCCCTGCATTCCTTTGTCTCCCTCTCGCCTCTCTCCCCCACCCTCGGTCCTTCCTTTTTTCTGTACAACTTCAACTTTTCTTCTTCCCAGCTTTCTTTCAAATTGAAAAAACGTGTTTAACTCCTCAGGCTGTAGGAGCTGTGGTTCTTGTATTTACTTTAATTAGTTCCCGCCTTTCCAGCTGCTCGTCACCCTGAATCTGCTCTCCCACTCCAGTGCTGAGGGCCCCAGGCCAGACTGCCTCCCTTCCCCGGGCCCTCCTGCTTCCGTCTGTGGTGGTGTTTGGATATCCGTGGCTTCAGGACCTCAGAACACTTCAGCTGTCGCAGTGCTCTCCTGACTGATGGAGCGCAGTCTGCCTCCCTTCCCTTTCCTACCCCCAGATATTGGAAATTCCCCGGAATTGAGTGAGCTTCTCCTCATGTGCCTCGGGTTCTGGTTAGTTCCATGCAGTCATGCACGCTGTGCTGGAATGAGGATGCTGATGACTTCCACCCTCTTGCCCTAGAACTGCTACTCATCTCTGCCCCGCCTGTATTTCCAAAGCTCCCTGGCTGTCTTTGTTACAGGTTTATGCAGTATGGTATACATTTCAAAAGGAAGGAATCGCCTTCCCCATTCTGAGCTGGCTCCTCATGTACACTTCTCACAGTTCATGACCCACGCTAAATATGAGTTTAGCTAGCAGCCTTGGGACCATCCTTGCGCCTCCTGCTCTTCGCTTTTCCCAGCTATCACTGTGCCTGGACATTCTACTTCAATGTGTGTGTTGCCTAGGCACTGGCAGTCAGTGGCCTATGGTACTGGTCTATCAGCAGGTTTCTCCGTCTTGTTCCACACCAAAGAGTGAACTGTGTCATTTTTCTAAAACCAACATACTCTTATATTTGTTTCAAAACCACATATAGAGCTGGGCATGATGGGACACGCCTGTAATCCCAGCACTTGGGAGGTTGAGGCAGGAAGATCTGTCACCACAAGTTCAAGACCAGTTTGAGTTACATGGTGAATTCAAGGCCAGTCTGAACTACAGAACAGGACCCTGATTCTAAACCAACCCCGTCCTACCTATGCTGGCCAGGCCAGGCCCGGCCCTTCCAGCCAATATATTGCTTTCCTGTCATAGCTTAAGTTCAAACTCCTAAATTAAGCATAAGAAGTCCATTTTTTTCTCACCCCTGCCAATCCCACAGGAAAGCGTTCCCATTTTCCTTGTACCTGCTAATCCCTCAGCCTAAAACTCCTGCTTCTCACCTCTTGCAGGATGTCTGCCTAAACTCTCAGTGCCAGCTTCTCTGGAAGGACTTCCCAGGCTTCCACAGAGCTTCCTTTCTTTCATTTGTGAAGTTCTGCAGCCCTTGGTAACTTACCCTATTTCTAGAGCACATTGTTTGAGACCATGCATTTCAGTGTGTGAACTCTGGCCAGAAAAATTTTGATTTTTTTCTCTCAAAACACAGATGTTTTCCATAAATACCCTGAAAACATGCACTGTTGGGTGTTTGTATGGGGTGACGGTGACAAGCATGGAGTTCGCAGGCATTGGAGGCTCCCAGGAGAATGAGGGCACATACTTAGAAGCAAGAGGTCTGCATCTGAGGCTGAATCCATGGTCTTTCCTGGAGTCCTGTGGACAGTATTTGATTGTCCTTGTTCATCTGGGAAAGGAAAACTAGCTTAATGCAAATTCATTTAATTGACTGAACATAAGACCTTCCTGTGTTTGGTTAGAGTCTAATGAAGCGCTTGCACCTAAAGGTATTATTTTATATTATAGTGATACCAATTTACTTTTAGATGTATTGGGCAAATTCCATTTTGTTTAAATTTCCACCCTTCTCAAAAGCTTTTGATACGAATTCCATTTTAGATGTATTGAGCAAGGTCCACTTTCTTTATGCCTCCTTTTCGAAAGTATTAATATAGAAATGAGACGGGAGCCCCAAGAAAACAGGGCTTTGTGTCATGTCCCGGTGCTGGTCGACATGTCGTGGAGGAGCATCCGTGTGTGTGCCAGCGCGTGCTGTTGCTGGTAGGCAGAGGTGAAGGGGGAATACTATGCTGTTGACTAGCCCCTGGTGCTAACAAGGAAGGCAGGTGAAGGAGTGAGCAAGGGAAGAGGAAAGACAGAAGAAACCAGAGGTAGGAGTTTGTAATTCAGAGCAATTCAAATGTAGAGTTGAGGTTGATGCAATTCTTAAGTTCATTCTTTTGGCCTGTTCAGACAAGCTGATGAAACACATACATGCAAATGCATATATATACTCACAGTCACCAACCCAAATTCATGACTGCTTCCCCTTGAGTCTAAAGCTCCTGTGCTAAGGTAGGGTCAAATTTATTTGTGTCTCTGTCATATCTAGTTTATCTAATTCTCTCTTTCTTTGAGTTTCTTCCTTGCCAACTTCGGGGGCCCAAATTTTATGAAGTTCAAATATTACTTTTTGACTTAGAGGTTCTGAAATTGATATAGGGGATATTACATAGGGATGATTTAGGACCTTCAACTTATCCAACTAATAGAAGGAAAATATTATAACTCTCAACCTGCTCAATGTCCAATATGCCTAGTTCATGTTCTCTAAAATTCAAGAATGGATTACAGGAATAACAGAGGTTAAGAGTAGGAAGTATTTATTGAGAGGAAGAAAGCTTTTGTCTAAGAGGGACAGAAGGGGGTCCCAAGTGGGTAGCCCTGGGGAACCCACATCTCAAGGGAGTTTTATAGAGTAAAGCCAGTAAGTAGCGTGGGTATAAGGTGCGAGAAAACTATAGTTAACTAGTAAGACTACAAATATAGTCACTTAGATAACATTGATCTAATGGAACATTGCAAGGTGGTATAAAGTGGGACAAAATTTTGGTCAGCTATTAAGATTATTAGTATAGAAGCTTAGGTAATACTGATTAAATGGTGATCAAATGAGGAAGCAAGTCACAAGGAATGTGTGTAGCAAGTGTACAAGGAATGAAGAAAGACTTTCCGGGAGGGAAGGAATGGGCTATGGAGGTTTTGGTTCTCCACCCCATGTGACTGATGCCTATTTAGAATATCAGTTATTGCTGTTCATCCCTGGGGAAGTATGTGGGTGAGTAGTTCTTTTTCTCTTGAAGCCTGACCTTCACCAAAAGCACCTCCAGCCACAGTTGTCTTATACACTGACCTCTCTGGGACTCAGCCCTGTCTGACTGCTTTTAGTATTTCTAAGTAATTTCACTATCTATTATAAAATGTAACAAGTGTAGGGTGTAGGGTTGGAAGATTTGCCCAGGGGAGAAAATATCAGTCTTCCAACATCTACAGTACATTTTGTGATGAGGGGACAGTGGGAATTTTGACATTTCATTATGTAATAAATGATCTATTAATTAGAGAGCACTATTGTACAAAGTATGCCACCACTGTATTTTATTGGTTGAAAATGTGACACATTTTTCAAATTTTCAGGAATTTGCATTGGTTTGGACTGTTGATTGATAGTTAGAACATTGCCTTTCTATGTTCTAAGCTGTAACCTGACTTTAGAAAAAACAAAAAACAGAAAACAGAGCTATTCCCTTTTTAAAAAGTACCTTAGGAGAGAACTTTTAAGCAAACTATTTAATGCTCTTGGTTGACATAGTTGTTCTTCCCAGGTTCCACCACACGCTCGAGTCCTCTTTTTTTCTGTGCCTTCAAGTAAGGCCTTTAAGACCTCCCCTAGTGGAACATGATTTCAAAGCCTCCTGGATGAGGCATTCAGTAGTCCACTGGGAAACTGGAAGAAGAATGATGATCATAAGATCATAAAATGACACCTGTGGTTATAGAAATGAACATGTGCATGATGACTCCTATCTCAAGGTGGAGTTTATGGTAGCTTTTTGCTTATTTGCTGCTTTTCCAACTTGGCACATAATTTTTCCATTTGGTTTCAAAGTTTTTGAGTTAAAAATACACATGTGTGTGAAAAAGTGATGACATAATGGAAAAAAATAGTTTATTAGGGTCATGAGCGTGTGTCTTTTTAGTTTCCAAAACATCTTTAATGGTAAGAGCAAAGAAGCTCAGTGAAAGTAGTATTTCATGGGACAAGAGCCTGGCTATCTATAGGGTTTAATAGAAATAAACAACAAATTAGTGCAAGACATAATAATTTGCTAAAATTATAGTAATTACTAGTAACCCACACCTTCTTTTTATCACCTGGAACAAGGTGCCTCCCTGGTCTTTCACAGAAACTAGTTCAAAGGGAAACACAGTCCTGGAAAGTGAGACTGGGAAGAGATTTTTTTAAGCAAGATTTACATCTCAATGGGGGAAAGCTAAACTAACATTTACAAAGTTTACTTTTCTTCTTTTTTTTAAGTGATGTTTAAAAAAAAAGAGGTTAAAGCCCAATTTCAAATTTAGCCTTATTTCTATTTAATCAAGCTTAAGGAAACATTAAAGTCCTCTTGGCCAAGACAGATTCAAAATCAGTGCATCTGATTCTAAGTGTTCACCTGATAGCTCAAGATCTGGGCTTAATATTTTACATAACACACATATATACACACATCTATATTTCTATATGTATATGTATGTATATGTTTCTATAAAGGACTCTGTTTGCAGTTCCCACCACCCAGTTTCAGCAACTTTCATTGAAAATAGTGCATCATTTCTGCAGCGAACCTGACTGAAAATAAACTTTCTATCTTCCCAGTAGCCTATATGTAGGTCAGACTATCCCAAATACATTTTCCAAAATGTGGCTCAATCTGTCCAGCCATTTTCACATGAAATGATGACAGAAATGCAGTTTTTATTTACAAGGGGTTATTTATGACTCTTAAAACATTGTTAGAAATGTTTGGCATTTTCTTTTTGGAGAAACAACACTAGGGAGATTTTGTGTAATGATTAAGAATTCAGTCTCTGGAGTTGAACTGTGGGTTGTGATTATTAATGCTCCTTGTGAGCTCTGGAAGTAGCGGCAACACCCTGATTAGGTTCCTCATTCCCACATGAGTTAATGAGTGTACTGACCTCATGTTATAATTAGGGTAAAATGAGATGAGCTATGGGAAACACTGAGAACACTTCCTGGCAAGAAGCTATGTTGGCCCTTGTTACACTAAGAGGGGATCTAAGCCAGTACTGGAGGGTGTCTTGCCCCTTATTTTGAAGACTAGTACCAGCCTTAGAGTACTGTTTGGCTATTTTGTGAGAAAACAAAAATAAAGTGTTCTAGCTTTCTGTTGGTGCTGTACAACTTCTCCACAAATTTAGTGGCTGCAAACAACACAATTTGTTATCTTACAGTTCTGGAGGTCATAAATTCCCAACATTATGGCAGAGATAATTAGGGCAGTGGTGGCAAACTTATAGCATGTGTGCCACAGTGGTCTCTTTGTATCATTGAAAGCTCTAAAGGGTTCACCATCACTGCTCTAGGGGTAACCTGTTTCTTTTCCTTTCTCAGCTTCTAGAGGTAGCCATAGTCCTTGATTAGTGGCCTGGAATCACTGTGACCTCCGCTTCTGTTTTTGTAACTTTTCTCACTTGCACCACCCTCCTGCCTTCCTCTTGTTAGAAGCCTGTGATTCCATTAAACTTATCTGGGTAATTCAGGACAGCGCCCATATCCAAAATCCTTAATTCGGTCACACATACAGAATGTCTATTGCAATTAAGATGTAGTCACAGGGCTCAGCAGTTGGGAGGGTGTTTTTGGGACACAGTCATCTCACCTAGCGTACTTGGTGTCTGCTGATGGGGCATTAATGACTGTGACTACAAAGGGCTTGTTGATATGCTTCTGAATTGTGCCTTTCATCCAGACCTTACCAGATGGATGATCTCTGTGATGGAAATGGCACTTTTGCCATCAGCTTATTAAAAATGTTGGGTGAAGAAGACAACTCACGAAATGTGTTCATATGCCCCCTGAGCATCTCCTCCTCCCTGGCCATGGTCTTCCTGGGAGCAAAAGGAAACACTGCAGCCCAGATGTCCCAGGTATGCATACCTCTCTCCACCCCCACAAAAAAAGAACAAGGCAGATTTCTCTTCTGCTTCCATAGAGCGGGTCTTTCCATTCTGTCACTCCCCCTGGTGATGGCTAGTGTGCCCGGTAGATTAGGAGGCCATTCTGACAATGTTGTCATGGCAGAAAGGTGAATTGTACAGTGTAGATCATCTCCTGTAATGTTTATGGAGGAAATTATGCCATAAAATTATTTTTCTCTAGGTAAAATTATCAAATCTTTTGGTGAAATAACACTTTTGATAAATAAGGTAAACTATAATTTTGCCTCACACAAAAGCCAACAAATTTAACTTTGTTGTATTTTAAACTTTTCTAACACTTTTTAAAAAAGCTGCAGCTATGAAAATGAACTTTTTAAGGCGTTATTTTTAGGGTATGATTATGCATATATGGATTAAAAATGTGACATAAATGTGAACTTACTTTTGTGGGGTTATTTAGAGGAAATCTAAAATCTGGCTCATTTTCAATGTTTCTGTTACAATCTATATCCTTATCTTCAAATGAAGTAGTGTGTAATACTTCAGGACATTTCTGTGACCACCTGGTGAATGGATCCCAGAAAATTGCCATATAGATATCCTTTTGCCGCTAGCGTCAAGGATGTATGAATGACCTGCAGTACATCCAGCATCCCAGTGAGATCCCCTGTGGTTGCTTCAGCTTACTGAAGAAGGGAGGCTTCCATCTGGGGTGATGGGGTGGCACAGAAAAGAATCTTATTTTTCACTTTGACCTAAGGTACAAACCATAATCTGGTCTGAACAATTACGAAATTACAGATGAAACATTTTTATTTTTATTTCTGTTCCCTTTTCACACTACCTGAGTCATATTAGATTTAGCCCAACTACCTGTTTTTCTGTTCTGCCTCCTGCCTAAGTTATTGCAGACTCCCTTCCTGGTGTGGGTAAATCTGCTAGACCAGCGTTTCTCACCTAGGTGGGCAGTTCCTCTCCTTAGGGTACAGAGTATTTGGTAAGGCTGGAGTTTTAGCTCTCATAACTGAGAGGTGGTGCTGACCTCTAGTGGACAGAGGCCAGAAATTGTGCAAAACATCCTACAGAGCACAGGACAATTCAGATCCAAAGGAACTGTCAGACCCAAAGTGTCCCCAGCGCCAAGGTTGAAGAACTCTATGCTTTTTTTCTTTTCTTTCTTTTTCAGTTCTTGATAACTATTGTTTCTGAATGTAAGGATTGTGTATTGCAAATGCATACCATAAAAAAGATGCTGGTTGGAATGCTCCCAAGGTGAGAAAAGCATTACCAAAAATTAAAAAGGACATTGAACCAAACTTCTTTTAGGACAGAAGCCTGAGTGATTTTCATTCCAGGTATTGGTTTGAAACTTTAGGGGAGTTTTATGGCTGTGTTTAAAGCATGCACTGTTTTTTGTTCCCAGGCACTTTGTTTGGACAGAGACGGAGATGTCCATGCAGGTTTCCAGTCTCTTCTTGCTGAAGTTAACAGAGCCGGCACTAAGTACCTGCTTAGAATGGCCAGCAGACTCTTTGGAGAAGAATCGTGTGATTTTCTTCCAGTAAGCAGTACTCACTCATGGATGAGAAGTTTGAAAATAAGATAAAAGCACAGAAGAGTGGAGAATGAGGCACAATTTGATCAGCTGGAAAATGTGCTTAGAATTATACTTCTGCAGTTCTAACTTTGACTTTTAGGCTTGCTTCTGATTTATGTTCTTTTTGAACTGTTTCTGGTAAATCCCTCTCAGAAATCTTCCTAGATAGCCTAACTGTCTTTTACTTAGCACCAAACATAGTGTCTGAAACATATTTAATGAATGAGAGGCTCCCTCGTGAAACTAAACTATCAAGAAACCATAGATCTACAAACAAACCAATAAGAAAGCATCCTCCTGTACCCAGACCTGTTCTTCCCTTCAGCCCTATCCCCAAGCACATCATCTAAAATATCATACAGCATTCCTCCCTGTTCCCACCTCTGCTTGTTGGGATGGTTTCTGCTGTGGCAGCCTTTGAAGTGTTCTGACACTTGCTCCAACTTCTGAATCACCACTGGTGTTTGCGTTCACACTAACTGTGTCTTTCACATTACTATCAGTTGTTCCTAACTGGACACTATACTTGGTGCTGAGTAAAAGAGAGTTAGGCTACCTGGTAAGAAACCAGAGAAATCAAAGTCAATGAGAGTTTTCTTTTTTTTTCCGGTACCGGGAATCAAACTCACGACCTTGCACTTGCCAGGTAGGCGCTGTGCTGCTGAGCTAAATCCCCAGCCCAATGCAGAGTTTTGACAGGGACAATCCTGGGCTACTTTTTGCATGGCTGGTGACATCCATATAGTTTGTGATCACCTGTGTACATAGACTGTCTTTATCATTAATCTGCGGGCCATCTCATCAGACATCATGTCTTTATCCAGTGACTGTAACCCACGCAGCATAAGTGGTCCAACATGTAGGATAATTGTGTGAATGTGTGTGTCTTACAGGGCAGTGTGACCTCTGCAAGCATTTATGATAGAAACGTTAAGAGGAAAGAAAGTTGTGGGATTTTCCTAGCTGTGGGGACCTTTGGTAAATAGGAACAAACCCAGTGTTTGTGGTTATAGACCTTTAAGGAATCCTGCAAGAAGTTCTATCAGGCAGAGATGGAGGAGCTGTCCTTTGCTAAAGATGCTGAAGAATGCAGGAAACACATCAATGACTGGGTGACAGAAAAGACTGAAGGTGAGCGATTTTCATTCAGAGGGACTTGGCATTGCCATGGAAGCAGAGGCTGAGAGGGGAGAGGGTGGGCACTTTATGGTGTTGTGTGCTATGATACGGTGAACACTGGAACCGGAGGGCTGTTTCTGTGTTTGTTGAGGTTTTAGGGCAGCAACAAAATTCTGTTAATTTTCTTGGGATTATCAGATCACAAAGTGATGATTTTTTTAAAAATTAAACTCATTAAGATCTGAAGCCCCTTCCCCTCTGAACTATGCTGGATAATCCCTGTTAAATGCTTCCTCTTGCGGCCCTAATTATGTTCTGTCTGGGGGCCCCTTGTTGTGCTCTGAGGCAGGAGGATGTTCATTCGTGTTGCAGCTGAGATTCAGCGGTGCAAGTTGTCCCCTTGCCTCTCTGTGTTAGCGTGAACAGCTCACTAGTTTGGCCTGCAGCTCTCTCCCTCCTCCTTGACTTCACTGCGGCTACATTGTTTTCAGAGTGATCTTTCCTGAATCTACTGCAGATTCTGGATGGGGTTAATCTGGAGACTGCAGTGTCCCCTGTCCGTCCCACCAGCAATAGTTTGTCCAGTTCATGATTTGATCAAAGAGAAAAAGAGCTGGGTGTGGCGGCACATGCCTGTAATCCTAGCACTTGGGAGGCTGAGGTAGGAGCATCACCATGAATTCGAGGTGAGCAGTGGGCTAATAGTCAGTGCAAGGCCAGCCTGAGCTACATAGTGAGACCCTGCCTCAAAACAGATGAACAAACTAACAAGAACAACCATGACAATAAAAAACCAAAGAGAAAAGAGGGCATGGTTTTAAACATGCTCAATACCTAACAAGAAATTTAGACTTCCCAAATGTGAGGGAATTAGGTCACTTATTTCTTCAGGTGCCAACCCAGCACTCAGTGTCTTTTATCCATTGCTTATGACACACCCGTTGTGTGTCAGGCAGCAGCAATGCCCATAATTATACTGACAGCCAGTGACATAGCATGGGAAGGGATGGCCTTTTGCATTTTTGCACCTCATCTGTCCACTGTGCCCTCACTGTCCTGTTGACCTGGCAGTACTAAGACACATGGGCAGTTTCTCCACACCTTCTCTCCCCTTATCTATCACTTCTCTGTGCTTCTGACCCCTTCCTTTCTTCTGGCTGACCATCCGGACATTTGCCAAGAATATTAAAATTGGAAGGGAGCTTGGGGATCATCTTGTTCCTTCTCTCACTGGACAACTCAATTTGGGTCCTTCTGTTCCATATCCCTAATTCCTCTCCCCCACTCACTCCTTTCCCCAACCCCTCACAGGTCAAGGTCCCCATCTTGAAGGGACTTCTCCTTATCTAGATAAGAGCTGAAGATTTTTTTTTTTTTTTTTTTTGGTTTTGGTTTTTCTCCGGTACCGGGAACCGAACTCACGACCTTGCGCTTGCCTGGCAGGCGCTTTGCCGCTGAGCTAAATCCCCAGCCCCAAGAGCTGAAGATTTTAATAGAACAGTGATTCTCAAGCAGGAGTGGCTTTGTCCTCAGGTGACATTTGACAATGCTGAAGACATTTTTGGTTGTCACAACTGAGGAAAGTACCGCTGGTTATACATCTTACAACCCATAGGGCAGACCTATTTTCTTAGCCACTTACTACCTATGTGAACTTGACAGAAAAGTAAAAGAAATGTTCTCATCCTGCATTTCCACATCTATAAATTATGAAGACAAAACTATAGCTGCCTTACCTACTTCAGGATCATTCTTTAAAGATAAATGATATACTGTCTGTGAAAGAAAGACTCCAATCTGGTGCTTAACCGTACGTAGACTTTATGTATCAAGGCGATTATAAAAGAATGCTTATTTCTCCCCAAATCACTATAAAATTCTTGCCTCTTCTTTACAGATAAGATTTCAGAAGTGCTGGGTCCTGGGATCATCAGTTCACTGACCAAGTTGGTCCTTGTGAATGCTGTGTATTTCAGAGGAAAGTGGAATGAGCAATTTGACAGAAAGTACACGAGGGGAATGCCCTTTAAAACTGGCAAGGTAGGGAACATTTTCTGATGTATTGCTATCTTCTTCAGGTCATTAGCTGGGAAAGATGATGGATGGAAAAAGTAAATTTATTTCATATTATCTTTGTCTAATGAATTCAATGCCCCCCCGTCTGTCTTTAATTAGAGGGAGGAGGACAGAAAGTGAAATAATTTTTGCATTGGCGGTTTTATTTTTTCATCTTTGGTCAAGTTTGTCTTCCATCTCTGATCATATGATTTGGGTTGGAGGAAAATTTCTAAGTCCTAGAATTTTGTTGATATTAAACTATCATTGCCTATAGTTACTTAGACACCTTTCTGCACTGTCAGTGGGAAATGTGTCTGGCTGTTGCCTCGGAATTCAAGGACGTACAATTCTGAGTTTAAAAAAGCGTTAGCAGATGTTAAGGCTAACTTTGAAGACAGTGTTTTGCATTCCATTTAAAATTTGATAATCACTAGGGTAAACTGTTGTTAGCTTGGAATTTGACTTCTGTAACTTGATAATAGCACATCATACAAAGATATTTAAGTTAAAAATGTATTTAATGGTAGCTTTAAAAATGGCTGACCTTATACATCTTGTCAAGGTCCACTCCTTAAAAAAGTTAAAGCCATAAGACCAATTACATTCTGGGCACCTTTTCTGAATAAAAGTATAATTCCCTTTGGCTTATGTATCTTTTCTAACCAGATTCTTCAGCATAAGACCTGAATTTAGTTAATGTTCCTCTTAACTTGGAAAAAATAATTTTTAATTATAAGGTACATGGGAGTCCTTACCTATAGGTCTTCTCAAAAAAGGAAACACAATTTCTTTTAAAAATAATGTGGAGTTTTATATCCTTCTATATTCATCAAACTATTCTCTTTCACCTGGGTAATACATAATCTAAGGGAACAATACTATGTGCTACTCAATACTAAGATATAGTAATGAAAACTGTATATCTAATAGCATAAATACACAGAAATAATAATTATCTTATCATTTTCTAGGAGTTATATGAATCAGACATATCTTGATTTTAGTAAATTGTGCTCAGTTTTCAGTAGTCTAATTTTACTTTCATGTTTTTATTAGGAGAAAAAAACAGTGCAGATGATGTTCAAGCATGCACAGTTTAACCTGGGCTATGTAGAGGAGGTGCATACGCAGGTCTTGGAGCTGCCCTATGCAGAGGAAGAGATGAGCATGATCATTCTGCTTCCTGATGATGACACTGATCTTGCCGTGGTGAGCCCTAGGCAATGAGTCCAAGTTTCTATGGATTCCAACTAAACTTATTTCTATAAGTCCATCTACCATATGTCATTTGAGGAGTTTCCAGTTATGGGTAATTACAAGTAGTACTGCAAGAACACCAATGCATGCCTTTTGGTATACATATATATGCATTTCTCTTCAGTGTCTATGAGAGACTGGACAAATTTTGAGAAAACTAAGAAAAGAATGTTTCAAAAATGTAACAACATTCTTTATTTTGAAGAGAAATCCCAATATTTCTTGAAGAAAGTACTGAAAGAAGGATAGGGAGTGATCTGGGCAATATTTTTCAATATTAATGTACATATGAACCTCTAGGCAATCTTATTATAAGAAAGATTTTGATTTAGGACAGTATAGCTTGAGGTTTTGCATTTCTAAGAAGATCCTTGTCTTAGTTACTTTTCTCTCCTTGCTGAGACAAAATACCTGATGCCCCAAATTAAGGGAGCAAAGGTTTATTTAGCTTCTGGTTTGTAGAGGTTTCAGTTCTTAATCAGCTGGCTCTAAGGTGGGGTGGCATGGCAGAGGGGCAACCATTCATGCTGGCAGAAGATACCAAAAGAAATAGATGAGGAGAGAGAACAAGCCTCTTTCCATTGCTTATATTGTATGTCGACTACCAACCTAAGATGGGTGTAGCACTCACACCTCCAGTCCCAGCACTAGACCATGAACCAATCACAAACTCCAGATTCAGCTTCCTGTGAAAAGCCTGCCCTCCATGACTGCTTGAGGCTGTAGGGGGACATCTAGACACAAAGCGTAATAATCCTCCATAAAGCATATGCTGCTGGTTCATGGGCCACACTTTTTTATTAGTACATGTTTTCAATGCATAATGAATATATTCAACATGGGGAGTTGGTACATGTACATGTCACACTTTGAGTAGTAAGGTCTATGGTACAGATGGGAGATTTACCTTAGATAGGAGAGAAAAGGCTTCTCATGATAAAAAGGAGAGAGTTCAGCAAAAGAAAAAGCAAACTTGCAAGGTGGGAAATGTAAGATTACTAGTATGCTGATAAAACTGCTCTCTGGGAGGTTAAGGACACTTCCATTTTTAAAGTTTGCTAATTCCAGTGGTACAAATACTCCTACCATTGCTGGCTCTAGGATATCAAATGTTTAACCATTTTATGAGTCAGGGTTTGTACACTGGAGGACAGGATCCAGAGTATGAGGATGCTTGATTTCTTTGGTTTCTCTATGGAATCACAAAGCTATTGGCATAAGTCAAGAATGGCCACCTAAGAGGAAATTTAGACATCTAAGAATAGAGCCAAAGTTAAAACAGCTGTCCTTTGAAAAGCTCCCACACTTTAGCAGCAGTTGGTAAAGGACTGAGGAGGTATAAGTAGAAGCCCTGTCTTACTCCTCTCTTTCCTCTTTATGGATAAGAATGGGTGACGAGTCGCAGAGGATTTGAAGCTAACTGCAGGACAGACAGAGGGCAAACAAGGGTGTCAGATGCAACAGTCCTGTTGAATTCTCCATTTTTGACTTCTTCCTAGAAGCCATGTCTCCTTTCATATTCAGATGACTGCCACTTCTTTCACCCTGAAAGAATTGTCCTGACCCTGCCCTGAGCAGAACCCTGATGGGCTTAGAATCAGAGTTCTGAGTCATACTTTTTACCTTTATTTTATTAATCTCTTCAATTCAGTCATACTATTGCATGAATATTAATATAACCAATTGGTCATATTTTCATTTTAAAGAGAAAAAGTAAAATGACAAAAACAAAACAACACAAAAATAGTAAAAATGATACAGGATTTTTAAAAGAAGATGACAGGAATTAACAATGGTTGCTATATTACATATTGTTATCTTCAACAAAGTTGCTCAGATTACCAGATGTAAGAATGCAAGATTGAGCAAACAATTAAAAAGAATAAAAAGTAACAACAACAACAAAAAATTACAAATGATGCAGAGCTTCATTAAATGAGATCGTAGGAATTCAACAATGGTTGTTGTATGGCATATTGTTGTGTTCAAATCAGTTGTTCAGATTACCAGATGTTCAGCATTCAAAATCGGTCAAGAAAAAAAATTTAGGCATAACTGTTCCTTTCAATAAACCAATAAATCAGAAGTACAATTATCCCAGCTATCCTTGTATATACATATATTTTTTTCCTGTCCTTCTTTCTTTCTTTTCTCCTTTCCCTCATCCCAGTTGTTCCTTTCCGTTGAGCAATTTCTTTCCCTTTCACAATATCTACTGTACCATATTTTTCCAGAAAAACTGAAAATGTCATACCATGGCAATATATGTACACCTCTGTTTATAGCAGTGCAATTGGTCATATTTTTTAAATGTTAATTTTTTAAATAAATATTTGAAACAAGTTTGTTATAAATTGTGTTTAAAACTTTTTCTCTGACATTTTCTAGTTCTTTGACTCTTATATCCATGGAATAGGGATAATACGAGAATTGGGGATGGGGTTGGTGTGTTTCTAACAAGAAAAGTTGCCATGATCTGTGTGGCTGTTGAAGTTCCTAGGGGCAAGGATGGTGAGAGGATGGAGAAATAAAGATAAAAGACAGAAAGCTGAGGTCAGGTGGAGCCCTCTCTCCAGATGGGAGAAAAGGAGCTGCTCAGCCACCATAGCACATTTATTTATACATTTGGCAGGTTGGTGTCATGTGACACCCCTTTGGCCTAGAAATCTATTGCTTGGGTTGTCTCAGGGTTTGGTGTTCTCTGGACTGAGGCAGCTTGTTCACATGCTTGCCTCAGGTTCTCTTTGTTCTCAGACCAGGCTTGCCTCACCCCCACATGTGTGATAAATTTCCAACTTCACTGGTTCCCTACAAAAAATATCTATAGATTGTTTTGGACAATAATTCATAATATGGTTCTATATCACAGAAAGGATAATAAGTGGGTGGTGGGTACCAGCCTGTTGGCCTGTAGATTTTAAGATCTGACACTTTACTATTCCAGGTGGAGAAAGCACTTACATATGAGAAGTTCAGATCCTGGATAAATCCAGAAAACATGAAGAAAAGTAAAGTTCAAGTTTTCCTTCCCAGATTAAAGCTGGAGGAGAGTTATGACTTGGAATCTATTCTTCGACGTTCAGGAATGACTGATGCTTTTGAGGAGATGAAGGCTGACTTTTCTGGAATGTCAACTAAAAAGAATGTGCCACTGTCCAAGGTTGCCCACAAGTGCTTTGTGGAGGTTAATGAGGAAGGCACAGAGGCAGCTGGGACCACTGCAGTGGTCCGGAATACCCGGAGTGCCAAGATAGAACCAAAGTTCTGTGCAGACCACCCTTTCCTTTTCTTCATCTGGCACCACAGCACCAACAGCATCATGTTCTGTGGCAGGTTCTCTTTGCCATGAAGAGTTTCTGTTGCTATACATGCCCCATTCTCCCTTCTGCCTATTGTGCCTTCATTAAAATTTCATGTGGCCAAACTGGTGCAGTGGCTTGAACACCAAAATAAAGTGTGTGCACTGGTGGGATTTGTGAATGTCTCTTCTGAAATTTCCAGTGCCCTTGAGAATAACTGAGGCTTCAGATATGTGGAGTTTGGGGTTGAGAAGGCTGCCCTTGTCTTGGAATATTCAAGATATTTCTTGTCTCACTTATAGTCTGTGCCTACTGTTTGTAAGCATCTTATTGATTAATGACCAGTTCTTCAATGAGATTTTCCATCCTGTGATAGTTTTTAAACTCTGACCACCACCATTGCCATTCTCTCCAGGGATGCCAGAGCCTAGGTCCCCCTGCACACAAAGATAGGCAGGCAGAACCATACTACTATATAGGGTGACTCTGTAGCCACTCAATGCAGGCAGCTAAGATAGTATCTCATACATCATGCTGTGGCCATCCACGTCCCAAAACTCACATAGCTTCTCATGGAGACAGCTTCTTTAGAACTTCTTTTCATAAGAATCAGATATAAGTTCAAGGGCTCAGCAACGAGCTTAAGGACTGTGCTTGGAGACAGATCAGTGAAATATGCCAGGTCATCACCTTCTGTCACTTTTGTTTTGAAACCCCCCTAAAATCCCCAAAGGAACAAAACAATTCTTAGAAGATATGATAAACTTCTTATTAATTGTATATCCTCAGACATTCTCTCCCTATTCTATGTATGCAAATATAAATTCATAAGTATTTTAGCACAAGTTAATCATAACTTCTGTAGCATATGTCTACCCTTATTTACTATAAATTTTCCTTAAGATAGTTATCTTTCCATGTCATCAATTTGATGTGCATAGTATTCTTATGTATGGCTGTATTTCTATATTTGAATCTACTTGAATGATGATAAAATTGTTTATATAATATATGATCATGAGTAGCCTTGATATCTGCTCACACCCTTAATTTTTGGAACAATATTCCTAAAAATGATACTGTCAGGTTAAATTTTTCAGACTTCTAAATTGGTGTCGAAAAGTTTTACTGATTTACATTCTTGTTTATGTTTTTATTTACAGTACTGCTAATTCCTGTCTGCCTTATTATGTTTATGAGTTGGACTAAACAGGGGTTAGTCTTGATTCTACTTTGATTCACAGTTAACAATTACATGAAACATTAATATTATAGTTGTTACTTAAAATTCACCAAGCTAGAATATGTTCTCAAGCCATATTCATTCAGCAACCATATTTTCTAAGGTACATTAATCCACAGAGCTGGAAAGTATACATCTGAGTTTTCATCTCACTGGCACTTCTAACTTAAAAATATACTTTTATTGAGGTATTATTGACCCAGAATAAACTTTAGATGTTTAAGACATACAATTTGATAAGTTCTGATGCATGTATGCATCCATGAAACCATGTCCACATTTAAAATAATGACCGTGCCTATCACATCTCTGAATTTTTTATTGAACCTTTGTAATCTCCCCTTTTCCCTCTTTAACCACTTAGCCTTTTTCCTTAGACAGACAATGATCTGCATTCTATCACTATAGCTTAATTTTATTTTCTAGAATTTTATTTACTTGGAATCCTCACCCTTTTCATATGGTTTCTAACACTCAGTACAATTACTTTGAGATTGTTCAACATTTTATATATATATATATATATATATATATACACACACACACACACACACACACATAACTTCCTATTATTGTAAAGTAATACATGATTATATATATATACACCACAGTTTTGAAATCCATTCGCATTTAGATGGATATTTGGGTTGTCACCAATATTTGCTTCTTGGTGAATAAAATTTCTCACCCATATTGTGCAGCTTTTAGTTTAGTTTTGTTTTCTTATTGTATTTTGATAATCTTTTGTTACAGATACAATATACTTTATAATATATATGTTTTATCACAGACCATGTGTTGCACTTTCCTTTTGATAACAGTGCTTTTGAAAAGCAGGTGCTCTTAATTTTGGTGGTTTAATTGGCATCTGTACTACTATTCTTGTCATACCTAAGGACCTTGCCTAACTCAAGATTACAAGAACTACCTCTCTGTCTTTCAGAATGTTAATAGTATTCAATTTTATATTTAGGCCATGATCCCTTTTGACTTATTTTCTCACATGTTGAACAGTACTCTTTCTCCTCTGAATGTTGATCTTTGTTGAAATTTGATTGATCATACATATGTCATTTTATTTGTGGACTTCATTTAATTGTATTGACCTTATTGTCTGACTTGATGCCAATACCACACTGTCTTGATTACTGTAGCTTAATAACAAATCTTGAAAACTGCTAAGTTTTGCAACATATTCTTATATTTGTAAAACTGTTCTGGCTATACCCAGTACTTTGGATTTCCCTGCGAATTTCAGACTTAGTTTTTTCACTTGTGCAAAAAACTGGACTTTTGAATAAGACTGTGTAGATAATAACATTAATTTTGGGGAAGTAAACATGAACAATATTGAATCTTCGAATCCATGAACATAACACATTTCTTCATTTTTAAGATCTCTAATTTGTCTTACTATACTTTTGTAGTTTTCAGTACACATTTATTACACAACTTTTCTCAGATTTAGTCCCACATATTTCCCATTTGTATGTTATTGTAAATTGTGTTGCACTTTAATTTCAGTTTCTGATTATATGTTGCAAGTATGTCAAAATATAATTAGTTTTTGTATTTGTCTTGTTTCCGGCAGCGTTGTTAAAATCAGTTCTTATAGTTTTTTCATAGCTTACATATCTACTAATAAAGAAAAGTATTCGTTTTTTGTTTTCCATCTGAATTGTTTTCATTTATGTTCCTTACCTTTTTGGGTTGGTTGTTGATTAGAGGTAGCAAAAACAGACATATTTTTCACCTGATTGTAGGGAAAACATATAGTCATTCATCATTAAATGTGATGTAAGTTGTCAATTTTTTGTAAATGTTCTTTTCCAGGTTGGAAAATGTCCTATCCCTAATTTGTTAGGAACTGTTGTTTATTTGTTTATTTTTTTAAATCAGGAATAGATGTTGGATTTTGTCAAATGGTTTTTCTGTATCTTTGAGATTATCATGGTTTTGAGGTAGGAGAGAAGAAATAAAGATAAAAGGAGAAAAAGAACATTGTTTTTTGTCTGTGTAATTACTAAAAAAAAACCCAGTCTTGTTACGTAGTCTGTACAGGCCTTGAACTCGCTAAATAGCTCATGCTGGCCTCTGACTCTTATCAATCTGCCTGCCTCAGCCTCCCAAGTACTGGGATTACAAGTGTGCATCACCATGCCCAGCTCTGTAATTACTGTAAAACTTTGGGGCAGATTCTTCCAACTATGCACGCTGGCATGCTGCATTAGTCAATTTCCCGTCACTAAGCAAAATACCTGACACTTCCAACCTAGAGGAAGATTTATTCCTTAAATGTTTATTTTGGCTTCAAGTTTCAGAGGATCTATTCTATGAAGTAGTCTGTGGTTCCAATACAGAAACAGCTTTGTAGAAGGCGTGATAGAGTAAAGCTCCTAACTCATGGCAGCTGAGGGAGACACAGACAGAGACAGAGACAGACAGGGACAGACAGACAGGGAGAGGCAGAGAGACAGAGACTCTGGGAACAAGAATATACTCTTCCAGATCATGGCTCCGTGATCCACCTCCTCCAACCAGGCTGCACCTCCTAATAGCTCTTTCAGTTATGAACTCATGAATGGATTAATCTAGCAAAGAATAAAGAACCCTCATGATCCAGTCACCTTCCAAAAGCCGCACTTCTGAACAGATGAGGCTTTGGGGGCCACTTAGATCTAAACCATAGGACTCCATTTCTGTTCCCCTAAGGCTCATGTTGAATTCATGTAGAATGCATTTTGTCCATCTGTGAGAATTGCCAAAATCTTAACAGTTCCAATCCACTGTCCAAGTCATGATAAACTCTAAGCTGTGAGCCCTTGTAAAAATAAAAAAGGAAATTAACAGCTATTTTGAGAAGTACCCAAATAGCTGGTGGGTCAAAGCAACTCAGCAGTCTAGACTCACAGGATAGACTTGGGGTATGAGAGCCCTTCACCCCAGTGTTTCCTCTCCAAGCACAGATGAAGCACAGATGGGCAAGTAATCAGGGACAGAAGCTGCTCCTTCCCACCCACATATTTGCTCTCAGATTCTGTGAGAATAAACAACTGATAACTACCTCTGTTAGGAGTCTTCAATATTGGATCCAAGGCATACCAGAGTCAATGCCAGGGACCTGTGATTTACACTGTTATGGCTTGTGTCTAGATGTCCCCCCAAAGCCTCATGCAGTCATAGATGGAGCTTTTCAAAGGTGGCTTGATCTAGAGTGTGTCATACTGGGATTGATTCATGGTGCAATGCTAGGATTAAGGGTGCTAGGATTAAGGGTATGAGGGCTACTGGAGGGTAGCACTAAGGGCTGGTATCCTGGATACAGTATAAGGGACAGAAAGAAGTTTGTTGCTTGAACTTGCTGCTTGCTGCCTTCTGCCTGCCCTGTTTTGCCATGGACTGTTTCTCCTCTGTGATGTCCCTCTGCCATACCATCCTGCCTTGGAGCCAAGTGATTATGAACTGAAACTTCTATAAACTGTGAGCTAAATAAACCTTTCCTCCCTTAACTTGTAGGGGTTGGGTATTTTGTCCCAGTAAGGAGAAGAGTAACTAAGACACACACCAACTAGGACATGCACTGAGCACACAGAGCTAATACTGGTCTGATTTAAATCCATACTCTGCACCCCAGTCTCCCCTGAGCCTACATTCAGCTCTTACTGCCCTATTCCAATCCTACACCTGCCAGAGACTCTCTCTGACATCTGTCACTAGTCCCTGGGCAACCTAGGTTTGCATGGGATGTTCTAAGTCTATGTGAATCTCTGCTTGGTAAACCTAGACTATAGCAGCATCCATTCAGCACTAGGTGTACTGTACCCACTCTGGGCACACTGGTTACCACCCGGCATTCTGCCATAATCCCAGACCCATTTCAGCCTGAAAGAACAGGCCAGTACTTTGCTTGGTTAAGCAGCAAGGGTTTAGGGTCTCCCTGTTTTGTCCGGTACTCTGGACACATGTGAGATATCACCCAATATCCACTGGTGAGACTCTTCTTTTTTCTTCTGATTCTCATTGTAAATTTGGCTGAAAAGCAACTGACAGTACTCATACCACAGCCTAAACTTTGGGTTGCCTTGAAATTTCTTCCACCAGATTAATGTAGTTAGTGAGCACCTTTAAATTAAGCCTTAGACAATGTATAAGGGTGTGGGAAAAATGAAGACAAGTTCTTTGCCAGAATTTTACATACATGGCCTCTAGCCCAACTGCCAATGAAGTTCTTGTTCCCAAATGAAATTACCAAATCCAAAGCTTTTCTCTTCACATTCTTCTCAGCATTCTGCTCTTCTGAGGTTGCTCCAAAATCTCTCTATAAGCTCTGCTTCAAGAATTAGGTTTCTTTACCTTGCGTCTCCAAACATTTCCAAATTCATCCCACGAATCAGTGCTAAAGGCTTCCAAACCACATAGGTACAACCACAGCAATTAATTTGCTTCTCTGGTACCAATTTTCTGTATTGGGCAGCTTTCCTATTACATGACAAAGTACCCAATTTAAAGGAGAATAGATTTATTTTAGTTCATGGCTTCAAAGGGTTCAGTCCATGACTGGCTGGCTGAAAGGCAGAAACAGCATAGCAGAAGAGCATGGTGGAGGAAAGCTGCTTGGCATGGTGGAGAGGAAGCAGAGAGAAGAGAAAAGCTGGGGACAAGAAATAACTATTCTAGTTCATGGTTCCAATGACCCACCGCTTCCAGTCAGCCTTCTAACAGTACACTCAGCTAAACTCACTAAAGGAGTAATCCACTGAGGAGTATAGTGCCCCATGATATAATCACCTTCCAAAAGTTCCACCTCCAAAGACAGGAGACTTTTGAGGGATGTATTAGATCTAAACTATAACACATTCTTACCACCCAAAGAATGTTTGTATTACAAAATTTATTAGCCCTAAACTTAGCTAGTTTATCTCTTCCCCTTTAAGACTAAGGATATTAAGATAAGAGTAACTGAAGTTAGTTTTGGGGACTCTCAATCACTAGCTTTTCCAACATCCAGTTCTGATAAGCAAAGACAATCATGAAAATGGAATTCTTTTCAAGCCGTAAGATTCCTTTAGAACTACATAAACAAGAATGATTAGTTAATTCTTGAAAACAGCCATATGCTTTTCTGAACTGATAAGTCTGAACCTCTGGCTCAGAGTGAGTCCCTTCCAGTTATTCAAACTGGAGTCTTTTACTATTCTTCTTTACTGTCTAACTCTGCCTAATAAACCTTTTTATGTCTCACACTGATGTCCTGAAATACTGTTTCCCTGACACGAGTCAAGAAATTCCTCAGAGGGCAGAATTGAGGACATTATCTCTGCTTTGAAGGCCCTTCTAGGACTCTTCCTGGTGACAGTTTCAGTTCTCTTTAGATTGATAATGTTATAATTAACTTTTTTATGATTAGCTTTTGAATGTTTAAAAAAACTTACATTACTGGGATACACCCCACTTGGTCATGGTATATTTCCCATTATATATAGTTTTGGACTCAATTTATTAACCTATGTTTAGAATTTGCCATCAATGTTTATTAGGGGCAGCAGTCTATGTTTTCTTTTTAAAATTGTATTTTGTCTTTTCTTGATTTTGGTTTCAGGGCCATTGTGAGCTTATAGAATGAGCTGAAAAGTGTGTTCACATTTTTACTTTTCTGAAACAGAACTGAATTACAGTACTTCTAATGTTTTTGTTTGAAGTTTTTCTTTTGGAATGAACACTTCTAAGTGTCAGTCTTAGTCCTTTTGTTGCAGACATGATGTTCTTCAACTGGCTTGTAAATTTTTATGTCCCATTCATGTTTGGAGATGATAGTTTGACTCTTCATGTAGGTAACTGGCTCATGTCATCTCCTATTTCCTCCATTGGCCCCTCTGAGTAAAAGGCTAACTGAAATATTTGCTTTTTATAGACAAAGTCACTGACTTGAATTCCAGGGAAGCCTGGCTGTCTCTTTTTGCTGCTTCCATGCCCCTCCTTTCTTGTCTCAACCCTCTCTCAAATTTCAGAGTAAGATAGGTCCTACTGGGGGCTGGGGATTTAGCTCAGTGTCACAGAGCCTGCCTGGCAAGCCCAAGGTTGTGAGTTTGATAACCGGTACCGGAAAAAATCAACACCCCCACCCCCAAAAGAGATGGGTCCTATTAATGGTTCACAATATTTGTCCATATTAAAAGATCCTTTTCTCTCAGACCCTAGTCTTTATTTTTATTTATTTATTTATTTATTTGGTTTTTCTCCGGTACTGGGAATTGAACTCACGACCTTGCGCTTGCCAGGCAGGCGCTGTGCCGCTGAGCTAAATCCCTAGCCCTCAGACCCTAGTCTTTAAATTTTGTTACAAAAAAGAATTTTACTGTTTCCTTGGGAAGCAATTCTGGATTACTCACCAGTCTCCTAACAGGTAGTTGGGAGTTATGGAGCTAACTAGAACCACAGAAGCTCCATCATCTGTCTGCTTTCTCTTCAGGAGTGTCTGTCGACCCTAAGCCTGTCTAGAAATTCTGATTACCATCATCAGTACCCTGGAACTCTCTTTTGTGTATATCACTTCACATTGTATTATCAATATTCTGCCATATACAATATTTGTTCCAAAAGTCAGTAAAAGTTTGTAGGTTATCAGTGAACTCCCTCTTATCCTTATTTTCATTGGTATATTTCCTTTTTCCTTTCCTTACACTCAATAGAGTTAGATGTAGACATTCCTCATTTAATGACTGAATTCCGTTCTGCGACTAGGTCCTTAAATGGAGTGGTAGCTAAATGAAGAAATGTATTAGTATGTACACTGCAAAATTCAGAACAAAGAAATGGTGGAAAGAAACACTAACATGATGACTTTGCTTTTATTTGGATAACTCTTACATGCAGTACTGTAATGTATAACAGAATATAAAAACTATAGTTCTGTATTGTATAATCAGCAAAAATTATAGTAATATATAAACAAGGTGTACTGTATAAAAAAGATACTGAGGGGGGCTGGGGATTTAGCTC